AATGATAATTTGGGATATTCACAATCTAAAGCTCACAGTTTTTTTTTTTTTAAGGATTTGAATAGAAAAGGATGTTAATACTCTAGAATAGCTTATTGTTAAAGATTCCTTTAAAACATTTGATGTACTGCAAGAGGAATTTGGATGGTCTAAAACTGCAGAATGGCTATATTCAATTAAACAACTCTGGATGGACCTGATCCTTCTGAAATTCTCAGTTTACATGTTTATTGGAAAGTGTTTTGGATGAATAAACCCACGTTTTATTTCCATAGAAAGCTGAAGAGCATTATTAAAACAGGTACTTGTAATTTGCAAAAAAAAATGGAATAAAATGTAGATATGTCCTTTTGAAAGAAATCAATAACTGGAGTTTTAAAGACGTCAGATATGTTTCCTGTGACTTTAAAAATGTGATTAATTCATCAAAATATTCTTTTTCAAGCTTACTGGATCTCAGCAGATCTTTAAGAATGATCTTCTTGTGTCAATCTTCTTATGCTGTAAATTGGAGATTCTGACACACATGATTTGGGCTCACTCTGCAGTTGCCCCATGTTAATCTACTATTCATATTATTGTTATTATGAATTTGGAAAGAACAATAAGCTTTTTTGATGACAAGGCAATTTTTTTTGCTCTTGGCAATATTTTTGCTGCTAAAGAAATATCATGCAGAACTTCCTAGGGTAGGGGTCAGGAATATTTTATTTTACTGTTAGAAATATTTTACTTTCTAGTACCCTATTCTGTCCATAATATGCAGCTTGGGAAATGACGCTGTAATGCCTCTAAGTGAAGTATATTTGGAACAGGTTATCCATTGCTTTAACCTTGCAGTGACCCTAGCCTGTGAGGTTTAAATGTCCTGATCAGTGTGGTCTTTAAGGGAGTAACCCTAGCTTTCTCTTCACAAGGAGATAATCCTCCTGCCAGGATCAGTGATCATCAAATGACCGAGGTCATCACGAATAAAAGCTATTGCTATACCAGTAAAGATCATCTATCCTTTTCTTTTCCTTTATTCTTTTTTCTGTACTAGGGGTTTCACTGGTAATAAAATTTGCACAATGATTAAAAGCACCAATTGTGTCTTCTTCTGTACTTGGCCTGAGCACATGTTCATACATTAGTAATATGTGTATTCCATAAAGCTCTCCTTTGCTTGCAGCTGACTTTCTTTACACCGCAGCTCATGTTCTTTTGGAATATGGCAATGCTTAATGGAGATATTGTGAAATGCTTTTCATTGAAGCCTCCCTTTAATTATGGATATCCTGCATGACAAGTTCTTCTTTAGCATATGTTTCTTCACTCCAAGAACACCAGTTTAAGTCTGCAATCAAAGGCAACTTAAGAAAAACATTGTGTACAGATTAATTCCATTTTGATGTGTACCCAGCGTGGACCATTTTACTGCCCCAGATTTTTATTAATAAGCTAGCAGAATGGCAACCATCAAGACTGGTGGAATGTGCATGAGAGGATGACTGATATTCTGAAAAGATCCATGGGGACCACATTGTACTTTTCTTCTCTCCTTCATGCACCCCACTTCATAAGGTTCCAGGCCATCCTCTGTCAGGGAGAAAAGGCAGATGATGATCTAAATGCAATAGCTGGGCTTTATTTTTCTGCATAGAAGGAAATGTTACATATTTATTTAAGAAATGTAAATGGCCGCCCAACTCAAAATACTGCAACTCTGGGTGGCTTACAAAAAACCCAAACCAAACATAAATGGATCAACAATTCCATTAAAAGTAAACAAACCCTTAATAGGCAATCAGTGACAACGATATAATCAAATAGGAGAAGGCAAATGTGAAGTGCCCCTTTCAATAGGGAGCAGAACACTTGTTACTGTGTTGACATCAGGGCACCCAGAGTTTAGGCTTCTGGGATTTATTTAATGATTTTTAAAATCATGAGGTCTACCTGTCAGAGCTAGGAGCAGGCTAATAACTGTCAGAGGAAAGGCTGATGATCTGTAGCAATATAAAATCTACACCTGTGTGCCCATAGATAAGTATGAATGTGAGGACTGCACTGAGGAATTTGATGAGCTTTTTCAAAACTAACTTCCTTCCTTCCTTCCTTCCTTCCTTCCTTCCTTCCTTCCTTCCTT